TAGACATGCCAAAGATGGCCTCATCTTCAGGCCTGTTCCAGGCCACAGATGATTGGCCATTAGTGACGGGATTGGATAACGACCAGCATCTTCACCGCCCACCTCAACAACACGACATGCGACATGTGCCCGTACGCCCGCGAAACCGCCCCTCTCACTTGGGCAACGCGCTGGTGCAGCACTAGACACTGTTTTGTCCATCTGACAGATGAGACCCGGCCGCAAGTCACCAGGAAAACAGTCCGAGCGAGAGGCCCTGGGAGGGGTCCCATGCTGGGTCCGAAGTTTCCGGCGCTGCAGCTTGGCGCCGCGGTGCCGTGGACCATGCACGGCGGGCGCACAAGGCGGACGTAGAAAAGAAGAATGAGTAGACAGACAGAGAACCGCGACGTACACCGCCAGGAACGCACTCGGCCGACGGGTGCAGTCGACGCTGATCCGTTCTCATGAGGCTGGGTGCGCCCTTCAGGAGAGTTGTCAAGAGACCATCCAGCTCGCAGCGAGACCGGTGCCGGCTGGCAGCGGCTCGTCCACCATGAGCTCGTGTTGTATTACCGGGGGAAACGTCGGCCGCCCACAGAGACAGCGCATCCGACCGATTTGGGGGCCCGCGCACAGGCTCCATGGGTGTGCCGGTGCTCCTCTGAGGGGATCCAGGCGCGCTCTGCACACCCCACGCCTCGAGCGTAATTAAGTCCTAGGCCTGAGCGACCGTCGAGACTCCGAATCGATGGGCTGGGGGTGGGGACAATCAAACCACCATCATCGTTCACCTGCACAGAAAGGTTCGAACCTTCGAACGAGCACTTTTCCGCCGCACTTCATGTGCTCGGTGGAGCTATCGCCGTGCTGAAATGAATGTGTGCACTGATGATAGGGCCTGCGGAACGTGCTGCGCATTGCACTGTGCGAGGTCGACGGAGGAAGCCTTGAAGCACGCCCTTGCAGTGCGACTTTCGCTGAAGCCCAGCGCGCGGCATTCCCCGCGAGGCTTTTACGGTGGCGTTACGCATGGGCGCCTTTCCTCTTCGGGGTTTGTCCGGAAGGCCCGTGACTCTGGGGTCACAACATCTGAACATTCCCTGGTAAGCAGCGGCGGTTTTTCCTTCCACCATCACCTATGACCTCGCAGTGCTCGCACGTACCATCACGACCATTGGCTGGGCTATTTCAATATACTATTCAGCTTTGCCCAGAAACGTGTCTCGACTGCAAATGCTACCGGTGCCACTTACGTGCAAGCTGGTTCTGAATATGCCGCGATCAGACAGTCTCATCGGCGGTGCCAGTTGCAATACTGTCCATGGGCCTACACGCGCGATGGTCATGTCTCTGCGATCTGGGGTCACAATTGCACCTCTTCCAGCCCCTATGGGCTACGCAATGCGCGAGGTAAGTCTGGAACACCGCGATTCTGGCCCCCAGTTGAGCGTTGCAGGCGAACGTTCTGCCTCTCTAGGGGTCTTCTTCACACCTAGTCCGTCATCTGAGCCAGGGAACGTGCGGCATGTGGTAAAGAACGTATCGTACAACGCTCGCATTATAGCCTATGCGCTCGAGGGTCTTCCGCACCCGAGGGCCGGTCGCGCTCGCGGGAAGCGCGTGGTCTGGTTGGACAACAAGCCATTAAGGTACGTTCATTGCGCTCCCGCCAGTTTTTCGTATCGTGAGTAGTCGGAGCGCGAGAGACTATGTCAGACGAGAGCGCCTGCCGCCAGAGGCCGTAGGCATGTTGCCAAATCCTGGCACTCTGGGGCCATAACCTCTATTAGGTGGACGCAGAGATCCTGCTACTTTGGTGTGTCAAGGCGCCCTTTCCCCTTCAATTGCCGCTCCCCGCTCTCGGAAAGCATCTTCGTGCGGCATTCACGCGACCTGTGGCGCCCCGATTACAGCAATCCTTGTCGCAGATACGCGGTATGACCTACATCTCCACTTCTTGCACGCTGCTCAGGGTAGAGGAGCACTGAAGATGACAGTTTGCTGACGCGGCCGCCAGGTACATTGCGCGGAGACAAAGCACGCCGCCTCTGCTTATAGCTTTTTGCTCCAAACTTCAAGCTCCAAGCCCGTCCAGCGGCTTCCCAGGCGCTATGGTCACCAGAACGCCGCGTGTGGTGCGCTTCCACCCGAGCAGCGGGCGCGGGCCCTTCGAGTTACCAAGCTTCCTCTCAGAGCTGTCTATTTTCAGACTCCGCAGAGCCGCACGAAACAGCCTGGCCAATCCCTATTGGTCGTTCGCACATAGTACGTATCTCTCTGGCTCTTGTATTCCGAACGCCAAGAGAGTAGAACGACAGAATATCATTTTATTGCGACTGTGGTCCATGCTTGCATCGCAACCGGCTCAGTTCTCCTCTGGACTATTCGGACCCCAGACGAACCCCACGCGCTCCCAGTCAGCTTCCGAAGCGTCTCTTTCTCAGTAAATATGAGCTGAAGCGGTAACCCGGCCACTACAATGCTTCATTACGGAACGGGCCCCGGGAATGGACACACTGACTTCGACAAAGCGATATTAAGCGATGCTCGATTCCAGAGTACGGAACGGCGGTTATCGATGGTCGATGGCCATCGGCAACCTCATTGGAAGCGCGTGCGGAGAATATGCGGCGCACATTTTGAACAGTGAGGAAATGACCAGATTGAGTGTACGCAGCTTAGGTGAGTACGATGTCTCCACCTGCGTCCGCGTCACCACTCAGCCTCATCGTCGCGGCAGGATAGTTAATACTGGGATCTGCACTATGCGCCACAAACATGTCTCATCTCATCTAGTCGCAGCAAATTGAAATATCAACGCTGAAATCTTCGGTCGCACGATGAACTGCCAGCGTCGAGCACGACAGAGAACCTTCGGTTGAATGGGCGCGCAGTCTGTTCACTGATGAACCCGACGAAGCCGCACTGGTTCTGTCAGCGGATGGATTGCGACCCTGCCAGAACGAGGTACGTGTCTCCCACCTAACGGCATGCACTGGAACGTCTGTCTTAGAGATCTTAACCATTGGCTCGTGTTCTACCAACCAGGTTGCGCCAACAGCAACAAGAAGAGCGGGAGAAGTGCTTATGGCATGAATGCGGACGCAAGAGCGCGACGTTTAATTCCGCACTTCTACGGGCACGAGCAATCGCTGACGCTTCGCGGTCTTACTGCTTTGTGGACCGTATCCACACCAGGCGCGGACGGCGGGTTCGCACGTCAAGTCCAGCAGAACACAACGCCGCCACGGGTTGTGGGGCCGTCACCGGCTAGCCCTGCGTTGTCGTCGAATTTGATGCGGATTGTGCGCTGGTCCGACGAACTGCAGACGTCCCGTCAGACTAGCCGTTGACGTTCGTCCGTGCAAGTCGTCGTCGATGCATGCTGTCGACAGCGGACAGCAGTCGAAGCCCTGTAGGATGGCCTGCAGGTCGCCGCTGGACTGTTTCATGGCTCGTCTCGTGCGGCCTTCGACTTCCAGAAGCGGCGTCGGGGCGGGCGAACCGCTATCCTTCTGACCACCAACCCCGACGTGCTGGAGGTATAAAGAAGAGGAAGAGCGAACGACAAGCCTCAGGTCGTCAGCCCTACTCATCCAGTCTTCTCAGCCTCTCGAACATTACACTCATTGAACCACCCTCCTTTCAATCCTCAGGAATTCAATCATGTTCTTCTCTCGCGTCGCCACCTTCGCTCTCGCGGCTCTCCCCATTCTTGCGGCTGCCACCCCTCTGGCGGTTCGCGACGCAGGCTCTTGTTCCACTGGCCCCATCCAGTGCTGCAACCAGACTGCCAGCGTGCGTACCTCAGATCGTCCGATGGCTACGGCGGATACTGACAATTGTGACAGAGCAACGATCCTGCCATTTCCGCTCTCCTTGGTCTGCTCAACATCGACGCCGAGGACTTGAATGTCCTCGTCGGCCTTGAGTGCACCCCCATCACCGTCATTGGTGTTGCCACCGGCAACAGCTGCGAAGCCCAAGCCGTTTGCTGCACCAACAACAACGTTGTATGTTTGCATCTTCCGCACTCTAACAGTGGAGGGTACTCACCAAATCTACTCTAGGGCGGCTTGGTTTCCCTTGGCTGCGTCCCCGTTTCCCTCTAGGTACCGTCCACGGGGAGATCCCTCGCTTTCTTGGGCAGCGTGTGATATTGGGCGCATGGGGTGTCTGGCGGCGCGTATCGTACCTTTTTCTTCGATAATCTGGACTTGGTCGCAGCGCATCATGTCATCGCTATGTTCGTTGGTAGTTGTGCGAACTATAGCCTATACTTGACTCCGCGCCGTGCTGCTCAGCACTCATTCGTGCTTTCCTGAGTCGACGGTAGCGAGACTTTCAGCCGCAGATTAGTGGTGGATGCTGAGACGAGACTCTGCGCTTGCCTTTCCTCTCATCGGGAGACCGTCTCGCTAAGTATAAATGGCAAAGGGAGCCTCAACGTCGAAAAGCACAAACTGGTAAGACCATATGTTCCTCGCACGCCCGAATTCTGCGTGCGGGACCTGTTCGTTGAGGGGCGGGTCATTCCAGCCTCAGAAGAAAGCTCTGAGTTGTAGGGCTTCGCTCCGAAATCCAACTCGAACATAAGTCGCCTGATCATTGTTGCTGAGGTACTAGCATGTTACTATGCAAATGCGCGCGGGGCTGAGCATCCTCAGGCTGAACGCGAGCGGCATATTGCGAGTAGCATATTTCGAATTCGACAACTGCAGAACTCCAGGCGCCTGCAGCCAGTCAAGCACCAACTTCCAGCTTAAAACGCTAGCGCTCCGACCTCTTTATACTTTACTATTCCCGAGGACGGTGACAAGAGCCAGAGTCGATGACCGAGCCTCTTAGGCCTGATAGTACACAATCACGCCGATCTCGGCAAGTGCTTCAACCCTAAACGTAGAAAACGACCTCTGCTAAGTTTTGTTTGCACCGTGAACCGGTGGATATAAGAACTCAATCTGCCAGGCCAATTTGGCTATCGTTAGGCCGTTCGGAGTGGAGCCATCTTACAAAAAGGGCCTGGCCGGGAATTGAACCCGGGACCTCCTCCAATTGTGACTACGGACGCCCTAAGAAGGAATCATACTACTAGACCACCAGGCCACTGGTATATGCTCAGTCAGATATGAGCTACCCCTTTATCCCCTGAACTGTCAAACCCCCTGGGGTCATTAAAGCTGCCCGAAGACGTCCAGAACGTAGTCTCCCGTAGGCAGACGACCGATGTGCTCTACTGAATGAGGGGAGGACGAGCACAACGGACGTCTGCTTCATAACGCGCCCCTCAAACCGTAGGTCGAGGAAATCGCGTTCGGATCAGCGGAGTAGCCTATGCCGAGTGATGGCAGAAATGCCGGGTGGCTGAACTTTGAAGACTCGCTCGTTTCCTACTGCAACTCTCCTACGATCGAAGTACAACGAGCTCATAAATCCCATAAGATCTGCAGCGTGAAGGTACTGCGATACTACTTGCGGGTCTTCGAGGGTATGTCTTGAACGGACCAAGTGCCGGGCTCATAGCTTTGACGACCAAACTGCCGTGTTGCAAAGGAGGGCGCTTGTCTCTGCACCTGGTGGGGGTGTCAGTATTATGAGGAATGTGTCTCCATGTAATACGAGGCCATTGGTGCATTACACGGTACGCAAACCAAGTCAATAATCAAACACAATATAACAGTAGAAGGTGGCTTGTAGTGAAGTCGTTCGTACTCACGACGCGCGACGCGCAAGTTGGGCGTCGAGATCTCGACGCGCTTCGGAGATCAAAACCCTGCTTACATACGCTGATTTCCTCGACCTAAGTACGGTTTGACCACCTCATTATGAAGCAGACTATCCAGAACGGCAGCTGTACTACTGGTAATAAGTCCTCCACGGACCTCCAGGGAGGCTCTGCTGGAGGATCGACACCTACTGCCACCCAACTGAACTTTCAAGCACGAAACTGAACCATCTCAGACTCATCACTGCGCACACCGGACCACATCGGCACCAAAAGGAGTGTATTATGGGCTATTATACGATATAACCTCAATATCCACCTAGTACGCTACTAACCATCGGCGTATACACCAGGAACCCCCTTAGAGGATGATGGGCACACAGCCAATGGAAATGAGACCACCCTATAAGGAACATCAGATAGGTTCATATTGTGAACTCATTGAAGTACTCACGACGTTGTTGTTCTCGCAGCAGACGGGGCTGGCCTGGCAAGAGTTCTGACCGGCACCGACAGCGGAGATACCGGAGCACTGGAGGCCAACCTGGCCAGTAACGCTACCAGCATCGAGACCCAAGAGACCGAGGAGCACCGCGATGGCGTTCTCGTCGGACTGTCAAGGCGTATGAGTGCGACAAATCACATTAAACTCAAGGGAAGCACGTACATTGTGGACGGAGTTGCAGCACTGGATAGAGCCAGTGTTGCAGTCCCCGCGGCGGACGGGAGTAGCGGCCGCAAAGACGGGGAGGGCGAGGACAGAGAGGGCAGCAACGCGAGCGAACATAATGAATGTAGGAGGTTGGGTTGAAGGAGTGACTGGGTTGGTAAGTGGTTTAGAGAGTACGAGAGAGATGCGGATCGTAGAACGATTGCGATGGGGAACACTGACCGTCGACCTCACAGTATTTATACCCTTCTCTGCACAGTCATCGCGCGGCGGTGGGCGGCCTGCTGGCACGGCACGGCAGCTTTCCGCGTTCTTGGAGTCCCTTCACCCTGCCACTTGGCCTCGTTCGTCTGTGCTGGTGGCTCTCGGCCTCTTCGATCTGTGTCTGAGGATTCTACGCGTCGCGTAATCACTCGCCTACCGCTGGCGCCTGCGGATGCACGGCGGCGCACTCTCTTTCATTTGATCGGCAAAAGCCTCGTGCGCGGCCAACAACATCCGTGCCGCTCTACCCATTTTGTCCGCGTCATCGGGAACCAGGCTTGCCAGGTGAGTAGCAGTCCAACCCAGAGCGGTGGATTTGCTGCAGTGAAGGTCACGGAAGTCGCTCTGGTTGGACTTGTGTCCACCGGTGCGAGCCTAAAGTGTCCTGAAGTGCGATGTGGGGGACCTCTGCGTTTTGCGCGGCTCAATTCGTGCCGTGCTGCGCATAGACGGTGAGTCAAGCCTTACTCTTCTCTGCAGGGTCTTATTTCGGGATTGACGCTTTGCCACTCAGAGTCTAGGGCTTCTGCCCGTTCTGTGAAAGCATCTGTCCTGCAGGCGCCTTCTATGTACTTACTGACAAACTCGAGTTACATAACTTTCGGACAAGCCCCAGACCATCGGTCAGATCGTCTTCCCAGACTCAACTTATGAGATTAGTGTAATGGGTAACCCGCCTCTGCGGGCCTCTGTACACTTCGTATGTGAGTGAGTGCACATGACTGCACGTGTCAGGGCTGAATGCTGACGCTCAGACGGGTCAGCGCGGATTGTACAGTGTGTCGTGCGTGGAAGCTAAGTTCAAACAGTCCTGCGTGCGACGTGCTAAGATAGGCCCAACGTAGATTCGACCACATCACATGACAAGCACGTGATCTGTCGACCTCCAAAACGACGCCTTCCGCCTCGATTTTCGCGGAGAAAAGCGTCCATGAAGCCTCGTAGAGGATCTCAGAGCCGTCTGCAGCTCTTTTGAAGTCTCATTGAGGGGGGTGCAAGGGAGCGAGAGGCGTTGTGACGGGCGTGACATAGTGGTCGAATCTACGCTGGGCCTATCTTAAGGGCTTTTCTGAGGGAAGAGACCGATACACGTTGTGGTCTGATTTGTGATCGCAGTGGCCAACGCAATGGACACCGAGAATATCGGCACGAAGCTGTGTCTGGGGCGACATGCGCGTTATATTCCTCCTAGCGACCTCAACATACTACGAAACCGACGATGCAGAGAATTAAGCATATCACGACCGTCCAGTAGCGATCGCTTCTGATTGGCGGCGAGAGCGTTCCACTTCAGAGCTCAATCGGGAGACACCCGATGGAGAGCAAGCCGCCCTACAATCCCAGTGAGTGCGAAGCGTGTCAACACTCTTCTACAAACACTTACGACGTTGTTGTTGGTGCAGCAGACGGCGTTGGCGGAGCAGCCATTGCCCGAACCAACACCAATGACGTTGATGGGCGAGCACTGGAGGCCGATGAGGCCAGTGATGTCTCCGAGGACGATGCCGAGGAGCCCGAGCAGGATGTTCGCCGAAGCGGAGTTAGACTGTACAAAGAACGAGTTAGTGTTGTGAAGACCAGGTTTTCGCTACGCGCTCACGTCAATGACGCTGTTGCAGCACTGAATAGCGCCGGTGCTGCAGCTCTGGCGAGCCTCGAGCTCAACGGGGGTGGCGACCGCAAGGAGCGGGAGAGCGAGGGCGGTGAAGGCGGCGATGCGGCGAGAGAACATTGTGAGTGACCTGAGTGCTCGAGGGATGGCGAACTGGGCTGTTGAGCTGAAGTCTTTGGCCCAGGTTGCTCAAGCTTATATAGGTTTCTGCCTCGTCCATATCCCCTGCGCCGCCCTCTCGGCATTGCGTGTACATTTCCTGTCGAGATTTTTTTCTCTCGAGAGCCATGCGGCGGAAGGAGCTGTCACTCGAAACAGCTGCATCGTGCTGCGCGACCAATAGCAGTATGCATTCTCGGCCGCAATGTCATGCGCATTAGGGCCTCGGACGTGGTGAGTCTGCTGTTTCACCTGCACTCACACACAACAACGCTCTAGATTTTCTCTCACAATTCTGGTCCGCTCGTAGAGGCTGAAACTTCCCATGACATACGGTCCGGAACCTAAATGGTGCCTCCTGGACCTTTCAAGCAACGACGGAAATCATCTCTGCACGACTGAATCTTCATGGCATATGGCTCTTGATGCGGATCTCAGGAGTACATTTCACTCACAGCTGTTGAACTCGCGATCCTAGGTTGACCCGTAGCATCAACGTGAGAGTTTCGCTGGTTGAAAGAATTTCCCGCCCACGCTGCTCAGGAGATCGAGTGTTCCGCTAAGTCCCCCGTACGGCCGCATCCGGCTGCGCAGAGCCTGTCTTGGCAAATGAAGGAGGGAACGCGTCGCCAAGTACGTTCGCTCCTCGCTATTCCACTACGAATATGTTCGCGTTCACCTGACACACAGAGACTCCGATACTTTCTACACGTTGTTCGAACATCCACGAAGCCGTGCACGGCACCTGCGGGATCGATCGTCGAATCCCTCGCAGCGGTGCCTATAGCACTGGGCGGGGACAGTTCGACGGATGGAGAAGACCACGAGCGCTATATGGTGATAGAATGTGTTTTTTGGGGCACAAGCGCAGCTCAGCTAACATGCCTTGTCAGGGTTGTTGCTGTGGGGACATCATACGACAGATGACTATCATTGGTCTGGAGGATCCCGGTGATAAATCGAACGGCGGGATTCCATAGGGCTTCCTCCTATGCTGCCGTACACTCCAAGGTCAGTCGTGTGTTTTTCTTCGCTCATCGCTGACATCACGAGAGTGTCGCGGTTTCGCCATTGGTCGTTGTTGCTGTACATGCTGGTCAGGACTGCAAATACTCTACAGAAGCAGTGGAGCGCAGACATCTCCGCGACTCAAGGTGTACCTTGCGCTCAGAGAGCTCCAGCGGGTATCGTCCGGCACGGCGTCGAGGCACACCAATAATAAGCATACCCGCAAATGCGTTCGCCGTCCGCGCGCGTGGGAACGAGCTTTTACAACGTCCGGGAAACTCTTTACCTCCGCACCCACAGTAATGGGTCACGAAGGCGGGTCAAGTGCGGCCAATATCCCGGTAAGAGCGCCTCTTACCTGTTGCTCTTACTTTATGTCCCCCGTGGTCGCTCCACAATGCTGCCGTTCTCAGCACGCTTGCTAGTCCCAAGCCTCCTCCCTGTTGGCCGATGAGTTGGAGGGCGTACCCTCCGCCGTGCTATGGGCTGTTACGGCGACGTTGCCAAGCGCACAACGAAAACTTCTCGTGAGCATGCCGTCTAGACGGGCGGCGTGCTCTAGCGAGATGATCAGATTGATCGAAGGTGCACGAATCTCCGTCGGTGAGGCAGTGACCACACTCAATTAAGACTTCCGCATATGCCGGAATTCGTCCCGCGCCCTTGTC